TACATAAAAGCAAAAACCATAGTTGAGGTTCAAAAATATTTTTGATACCTATATTGGTTGTTGAGAATTTAATTTTTAAGCTGCAAAATTTACCTCGCAAAACTTTTGACGAAACCTAATATTTAAAATAAAATTATGTACACCAATACCCAAACATCAATAAGCAAAACAGTCACAATTTATTTATTAAATTACAACAATCAAATATATTATCATTCAGCTAAGTTAATCAAGTTTATGGGGAATTTAATTAATTATATATTATGATGTTAGAAAATAAATATAATTTTAAATATACCAAAAAAATATAATATAATAATAATATTAATTCTAACTAAATGGCTTAACTATTAAAATCCATAGTAATGGGTTTGAAATCTTTCTTTAGATATTAATTTATTTTGAAATAATTCTAACTACCGATTTAATTCAATACCTATATCTATATAAATTATTATAACCATTGGTTAGACCTAACAATCGTTTTAGTAATTTAAATAAACCTAACAGCCCTTAATCTCTCGTTTTGGTATCGGTGCCATTGTTAACAGTCCTGCCTCCCATTTATTGATATTAATCTCAGAAATAGTTTTCGATAATAAGTACTCATTGAAGAAGTAATATCTCTTTGGATTCACTGATTGCATGTGTTTATGAAATGTGACAATCATTTCATCAGTGATTTGTATATTATGTGCGAAAATGTCTAATATTTCATTCAACACATCCGATGCCAACATATCTTTCTTCGGTGAAATAAAATCACAAATTTTATTGACATTTATTCCCAGATTTGTTGGAATGTTATCCCTAAATGATAACATCTTTAATTAATATGTGTTATTTAATATAATATATTATTTTTAAAATATAGCCTACCTGTTCACAATTGATTCAAATAAATGTGCAATAAACTCTTTTGTGTTATTATAATATGTATCAGCATTATTAAAATGATTTAACATGTTAAGTTTAATACATTTGCCATTACTTTCATTACTGGTAATCAATATTTTGTTTGGACTTAGTTTCCAAACATTGATTTCTTTATCGACCGATTCATGCAAATACTGAACACATTGTAACAGTTCTCGCAGTAATTCATAGGATAGTAAAAAGTCAATTGAAATCATTGCTAATGAGCTCTCGTTTTCAAAGATTTCATTTTTCTCACTAATAATATTCGACACGAATTGTGAGCACAACTCCGTCTGAATGAATACATAATTATTTTCAATCCATGAGTTGTAACATTCAATCGTATAATCCGTGTTAATATCAAATGCCTCCCTTATGTCAAGCAATAGGTCATTCGCTTCCATCATATTATCTATAAATCAAATGTATAATTCATTTATAATATAATTGTCTGCAAACATATAATATAATTATCACACATACCTGGTACTGGTATTTTGAATAATGAATACATTTGTTGAGATAATATATGTTTGGCTTTATATAGAGGAATGGTATGCGAAATGGACTCCATTTTCTCCTCAAACCTCAAAGTATTTATCACTGAATTGTCTAAATTTCAAAAAATAATATTTAAAAAATCTATCTAGTGAATTAAAAATCTTACAATTTTTAGTGGTTTCATATGGCATATGGATTATATAAAACGGTTTGCTTTTAGTAAATATTTTGTATAATATTTCGCATTTCGTTTCAACAAACTTTTCAAATAATAATTTGCATTCATTTTCCTCAATTATAATAGTGAAAATTTGTTGTAATTGTGATAAAATGTGCGGACAATCGGGTCTTTGATTATAATCTCTTGAAACCATCGACAACAATAATGCGTACATTTTTGTCATTGCTTCATTTGAATCGTTATTATATTTTTCTATTGAATTAGTCCTACAATTTCAAAATTAATTTTCGTTGTCTATGTAATTAAACACAATTATTACTATAATCAACACTTACTTTCCAGCAATTATATCGTTTGTATCGAAACCAAATAGTTGTGACCCAATTAGCGATAGACTGTAGATATCTATCTTATATTTGTATTCATTAGTCTGGGCTTCCGATGCCATATAGTCAACAGTACCCACATCTGCCGTATGTTTAGCTTTTGACATATTATGTGAATCAATACCTAAGACCTCTTTAGCCAAACCAAAGTCACATAACTTTATCGACCCATCGCTTGTAATCAACACATTATCCGGTTTGAGGTCTCTATGAATGATATGATTTTCGTGCAAATATTGCACACATTCTGTGAGTCTATGAAACATATGATACGATATATAAAACTCAGAAATAGTCATCAAATCATTAAAAAATGATTTCTTAGTGTCCAAAAAATTTGTCAAATTTTCATTAAACTCCATTTGAATGAATACATAGTTATCCTCAATCCATGAATTATAATATTCTATCACATAATCGGTGCTCAATTCAAATGACTTTCTGATATCAATCACCAGTTTATTCATTTCTATTGTATTATCTAAAAATTAAAGTATATTGATCAAATAAATTTAATAAATTTAAATACATTTTTTCTCTATAAATATTAGTTTTATAATTACTAACTTTATTAAATTAATGTATCTCACCTGGGACTGGCTTTTTCAATAATAAATATACTTCCTTGGAGAATATATGTTTGGCTTTATATAAATGACATGGAATTGTTTTCAATTTTAATTCAATTTTCTCAAATTTATATGAACCTAAATTGACAAAAAAATATTTTGATTATTTTTATAATCTATTTCAAATAAAACGTACCAGTTGTAATGTTTGACATCCGAATTTCACAAAAGGGTTTTAAATTCATAAATAATTTGTAAATTACATCACATTGCCTTTCGATAATACGTTCACAAAATAATTCAAATTCATTTTGATAGATTTTGCGTTCATTAATTATAAATGTCTGCAATTGTGATAAAATGTGCGAACATTCGGGTCTTTGTAAAATGAATTTGAATTATTTTGTGAACGTATTATCGAAAGGCAATGTGATGTAATTTACAAATTATTTATGAATTTAAAACCCTTTTGTGAAATTCGGATGTCAAACATTACAACTGGTACGTTTTTGCGATACTTATTAACACTCATTGACACCAATAATGCATTCATTTTATGCATCCATTCATTGATATCTTTATTCATCATTGATATCATCATTTCATCTTTATTATATTTTTCAATATAATTAATCCTATAATTCCAAAAATTATTATGTTAAGTATAGTCTATTTGACTAAATATTTATATAAAAATGAAACCATACTTTCCATCCATTATATCGTTTGTATTGAATCGAAAAATTTGTGAACCAATTATGGATAGACTGTAAATATCTATTAAATGGTTGTATTCATTAGTCTGAGCTTCTGGTGCTATATAATATACATTTCCAAAATCTGCAGTATGTTTGGCTTTACACATAAGAAACGGATCACAATTTTGGACCTCTTTAGCCAAACCAAAGTCACACAACTTTATCGACCCATCGCTTGTAATCAACACATTATCCGGTTTGAGGTCTCTATGAATGATATGCTTTTCGTGCAAATATTGCACACATGTTGTGAGTTTACGAAATATATGATACGATATATAAAACTCAGAAATAGTCATCAATTCAGTAAACAATGATTTCTTAGTTTCCAAAACATTGTTGAGATTATCGATACATAACTCCATTTGAATGTAAAGACAATTGCATTCAATCCATGAATAGTAGTATTGAATCACAAACTTTGACCGAAGTTTCACAAGACTTTGCGTTTCATTCAAAACATTTTGTTTCTCTTTTTCTGACAATTCTTTAGAAAAATCCAAATATAATAAAGTTAATCATAATTTTGCAAATAAAATAAAATATTTTTACCATTTAATAGACATTTCTTTATTGCATAGTATTCATTGGTACATTTATCTAGAACTTTAAATACCTGTCCATAGCCACCCTCACCAAGCTTAGTTATTACATCAAATGAATCTTGAAATGATATTAAATTACTCAACTTATCGTTAGTTTCTATAATAAAACATAATAATAATAATAATCAATTCAATGCACAACATATTGAGGCAATAATTATGGCATTATTGTAATATTTACCACAAATTTGTGTATTTTGTTGAATATGTACTGAAATGGTATTTAAAGTGATTTGCAATTCATGTGAAAAGTAATCATCAAATGATGTATAATTTGTTTCAAACAGATCTCGGTCAACAATTTCATATATTTTATCATCAGATTTGCCCACAATTTTTGAGTTATGTTTTTGTTTGATTTCATTGAACACAAAATGTGATATTTTTTCTAAACAATTATTACGAAAGTCATATCGATATAAGTTACCATGGCTAGATAACAAATATGCACATATAGAACCCATTGAATTGTGTGGAATTGCATTGGTTATGTTAATTTCAATTTCTAATAAATGTGGTTTTTTTATTATATTATTATCATCTACTGGTAACCTCCATCCTATATCATATACCTCTCCCCATATAAACACCTGACCCTCACAAGTAAGAGCAAGTGATGTATTCTCATTGCACTCTATTTTACTAATTTGATATTCAGTGGAAAATTCAACAGGAGTTGGATCTAATTGAATACTTTTATCACCACAACCAACCTGTCCCTCGTCATTACACCCCCACCCGAATACCTGTCCATTTGATGTCAACACAATTGTGTGTTTACGACCACAACTTATTTGTGAAATAATTAAATTGTTTGTTTGGAAATATAATATAGTATCCGGTTTATGGTATACATCATAATCCATATCCACAATATCTCCCAATTCTCCCCATTGATTGTTCCCAAAACTGAATATCACATTATTATCCGTATTGACAGCCAATACAAAGTCTTCTCCACTGAAAAACTGATTAATATTTTTAAAGCATAATTGTGGCACTGGTTGTGGTGTATGAATGGTTGTGTTGTGTCCAAACCCGAGCTGCCCAAACATATTAGATCCCAATCCATACACCATATCATCAAATGTCACAAACAGTATGCTATGGTCCCCCCAAATGTATTTGAAAACATAAAAATATTTAATTTCTTGTTTTAAATGTTGTGGTATTTGATCACAAATTTTATAATTATTAATTACAGTTGACATTTTATTACATTAAATATTTTTCACAAATAATAATAATCACGAATATTAATTATATTAATTCAATATTCAATAAACATTTATTTGTATAATAATTATACAAAATGGTGACAATTGTTATTAATTTTCATACAATTTACTTCACTATAGTCACTATAGTATAGTGTATATAAATGATATAATAACACGTATCATAACTTTATAAAGAAAAACAAATATCAATAACATGATTATTGCTAAGCAACTAATCAGCAAGGTTGTTGAGATTATTTAGTATTCTGTACAATATCGTATTAATAATACTGACAATATATATACTGTACATACAGTACGTGTATAGTGTTTGATATAATTACATGTATTAAATAAAATTGAATGTATCAAATTAATTTTTCGTTGTGAAATAATTGTGTTTTAATAAATTCATACAGATCATATTGCGAGCATAATTACATTTGAATTAATACGTGACGTTCAATTCATGTATAATATTTTTTTTGTTAATTCAAATGACTTTCTTATAACTCTCAATAATTGATCCATGTCAATCATATTGTCTATAAATTATTTGCACTATAATATTATAATTTATTAAACAAAATTTTATTGATTTAATAACCAATAAATTGGTCAAGACTTACATATAATATACTTTTATAATAATGAACACAATTATTAAGATATTTTTGTATGCACAGGTTCCTCAAATCTGTCCATGCTACATTATTTGTCAATTACTTCAAGCATAGGTTAGGTTAGAAATTTAGAAATTAATATTAAATTAAAAATTTTATTTTGAAAACAAAAAAATATTTTATATGAATATTAAAAACTTAATGCAAAATGTAAAATAAAACTAACAAATAATAAATCATGTTAATATTAGCGTAATCCTGTCCAGGGTATTACTAATCGATAATTAAAGTAATAAAAATAAATTATTTATAATGGTCATATATTTTACATATAATTTCCTGTATGAATATATAATACTTTACTTAATAATATTAAAAACGTATTTAAAATAAATCAAAAATAATTAATAAATTATATTAATATATAGTCTTTGATATGTTAGCTCTGATTGCTATAAAACAAGTTTATAGACACTTATAGACAAAAAATAATAGATTTTTATAGTATATAGAAATTGTAAAAATATATACTGTATATATAATCGGATTAATTTAAAAAAGTAAAATAAAAAATTAATTCAAATTTCAAATAAAATAAAACAAATTTCTCTTATTTTTCTGTACAAAGTATTTCAAGTTTTTTATAATTATTTTACAGCAAATAATTGTATGGTTTTTATAAAACTTTTCAAAAAAACAAATTATATATTATTAACAGAAAATTCATTTTATTTATATATATTTATAATTATATATATATATAATTTTATTAC